GGGGAGGTCGGAGGATGCGGTCCCAGAGTCCCAGAGGGCAAGGGTTGGAGGGGGCAGGGGGAGATGGGGGATCCAGAGGTTGGGGGGAGGGGGGGGGGAAGGGGGGGAGGGGGAGGGAGGGCGCAGCCCTCCAGAGAGGCCATGGTGCCCAACTGAGCGGGCGCCCGCGTCCCTCCGGGAGGCCTCCTGCGCGCGGGCGGCACGCTCCGTCCTCCCCCTCTCCTCCTCCTCCTCCTCCTCCTCGTCCTCCTCCTCCTCATCATCATCATCATCAACATCATCATCACCATCATCATCATACACGATCTCCCGTAAATTACGCGACGCTCGCACCTCTGGGGCCACGACCCAAAATAAATTACGCCACGCTTGCGATCCCGAGGCCACGATCCCTAGTAAATTATACCGCGTTCCCGAGGCCACGACCCCTTGTAAATTCTTCACGCTTCGCGTATCCCCACCAGCCCATCTCAAAACAGCAACTCTTGCGAAGCATGCCGACAGTCGTGCTTTTCAGGCGTGTTTCCGCCTGCCCCCGCATATCTCCCCTGTTCCTCCTTCCTCCCGCCTCCTTGTACATCCTCCTTGTGGTGGGAGCGGGAGAAGGACGAGGCGGAGGAGGAGGGAGAGAAAGCGCTCCTCGTGGTTTGAGTCGTTTGGGGTTTCTCGTCCTGGTGTGAGTCGTTCGGGCCCTTCTTCCTGGTGTGAGTCGTTCGGGCTCTTCGTGGTGTGAGTCGTTCGGGCGCTTCGTCCTGGTGTGAGTCGTTCGGGCTTCTCGTGGTGTGAGTTGTTCGGGGCCCTCATCCTGGTGTGAGTCGTTCGGGCCCCTCCTCCTGGTGTGACTCGTTCGGGCTCCTCGTGGTGTGAGTCGTTCGGGCGCCTCGTCTGGTGTGAGCCGTTCGGGGCCCTCGTCGTGGTGTGAGTCGTTCGGGCTCTTCGTGGTGTGAGTCGTTCGGGCCCCTCGTCCTGGTGTGAGTCGTTCGGGCTCCTCGTGGCGTGAGGCGTTAGGCATTTTGGGGCGTCTTGGGGGCCTCTTGGCGGCCCCAGGGGCTTCTAGGAGCGTCTTGGGTGCCTTGGGGGAGCCTCTTCGGGCTTCTTGGGAGCCTCTTGGAGGCCTTTTGGGGCGTCTTGGGGGCCTCTTGGCGGCCCCAGGGGCTTCTAGGAGCGTCTTGGGTGCCTTGGGGGAGCCTCTTCGGGCTTCTTGGGAGCCTCTTGGAGGCCGTTTGGGGCGTCTTGGGGGCCTCTTGGCGGCTCCAGGGGCTTCCAGGAGCGTCTTGGGTGCCTCGGGGGAGCCTCTTGGGGCCTCTCGGGAGCCTCTTGGGAGCCTCTTGGGGGCCTCTTGGAGGCTTCTTGGGGCCTCTTGGGGCTCTTTGGGGGGAGTCTGGGAGGTATCTTGGGGCCTACTTTCGGGCGATCGAGCAAAGATGTTGTTTTTTTTTTCTCCCCCCCCCGTCGGGGCCAGAATCCTTGTGAGGGGTGTCGTTTTTTAGCCCTCCAAGGAGTCGAAAATGACCCCTCCAACGACCCGCGGAACGCCCTCTCCAGGCCCAGGGGGAGGGGGTAGGGGGAGGGGTAAACCCCTCCCCGGCGGGGAAGAAGGCGGGTTGAGAACAGAGCTGGCTCTCTAAACCACTCACGCCCAAAAGGCTGGTGGGATTAGTAGTGGTAGTACGAGTAGTAGCAATAGTAGTAGTAAGTAGTAGCAGTAGTAGTAGTAGTAGTAGTAGTAGTAGCAGTAGTAGTGGTAGTAGTAGTAGTAGTCGGTAGTGGTAGTAGTAGTGGTAGTGGTAGTAGTAGTAGTAGTAGTAGTAGTAGTAGTAGTAGTAGTAGTAGTAGTAGTAGTAGTAGTAGTAGTAGTAGTAGTAGTAGTAGTAGTAGTAGTAGTAGTAGTAGTAGTAGTAGTAGTAGTAGTAGTAGTAGTAGTAGTAGTAGTAGTAGTAGTAGTAGTAGTAGTAGTAGTAGTAGTAGTAGTAGTAGTAGTAGTCGTAGTAGTAGTAGTAGTAGTAGTAGTGGTATTAGCAGTATCAGCGGTAGTAGCAAACGTAGTCGTCAACGTCGTCGTCGCACTAGTTGTCTCAGTAGCAGAGGCAGTCACTTGAGCAGTGGTCTATATGGAAGTAGTAGTAGTAGTAGTAGTAGTAGTAGTAGTAGTAGTAGTAGTAGTAGTAGTAGTAGTAGTAGTAGTAGTAGTACTGGTAGTAGTAGTAGTAGTAGTAGTGGCCGTGGCACCATGAGTAGAAGTAGTAATAGTAGAGGTGGAAGTAGTAGTAGTAGTAGTAGTAGTAGTCGTAGTAGTAGGAGTACTAGAAGCAGTAGTAGTGATGGTAGTCTTAGCAGTTGTAGTGGTAGTTGTCGTGGTAGTAGCAGTAATAGGACTAGAAAAATAGTAGAAGTAGTTGTCCTAGTACGAATAGCAGCAGTCGTAGTAGTCCCAGTAGTACTAATAGCAGTGGTACTAGTAGCAGTGGTAGTGGTAATGCTAGTAGTAGGAGCAGTAGTAGTAGTAGTAGTAGTAGTAGTTGTAGTAGTAGTATGAGTAGTAGTAGTAGTAGTAGTAGGACTAGAACTAGTAGTAGTCGTAATAGTAGTTGTAGTGGTAGTAGGAGATGATGTAGTGGTACTAGTATCAGTAGTAGTAGTAGTAGTAGTAGTAGTAGTAGTAGTAGTAGTAGTAGTAGTAGTAGTAGTAACAGCAGCAGCAGCAGCAGCAGCAGCAGCAGCAGCAGTAGTAGTAGTAGTAGTAGTAGTAGTAGTAGTAGTAGTAGTAGTAGTAGTAGTAGTAGTAGTAGTAGTAGTAATGGTAGGAGTAGAAAGAGTAGTAGATGTCTTTTGGGAGCCTCTTGGAGGCCTCTTGGGGCGTCTTCGGCGCCTCTTGGGGCCTCTTGGGGGCCTCTTGGGGGCATCTTTGGGGCCTCTTGGAGGCCTCTTGGGAGCCTCCTGGGGGCCTCTTGGGGCCATCTTGGGGCCTCTTGGTGCCTCCTGGGCGCTTCTTGGGGCCATCTTGGAGGAAATCGATCCAAGAAGAAGGGAGCTTTAATTAGCGCTGCCCCCTCAGAAGGGCAAAATGGGCCCAAAACCTTCGTAAAATCAATGTTTTGCCTTGAAAGAAGAAGGGGAGCTGTAATGAGCGCTGCCCCCCTCAGAAGGCCAACATGAAGCCAAAACCGTAGTAACATCAATGATTTTGGCTTCAATGAAGAGGAGAGCATTTTTTCTCCCTCCCCCCGTCGGGGCCAGAATCCTCGTGAGGGGTGTCGTTTTTTAGCCCTCCCAGGAGTCGACCATGACCCCCCTGACGACCCGCGGAACGACCTCTCCAGGCCCAGGGGGAGGGGGTAGGGGGAGGGGTAAACCCCTCCCCGAAGGGGAAGAAGGGGGGTTGAGAACAGAGAGAGCTCGCTAAACCACTCACGCCCAAAGGGCTGGTGGGATTGCACCACGTTCGCGCCCCCGAGGCCACGATCTCTTGTAAATTACAAAAATGTCGCGTCCGCGAATCCACGATCCCTTGTAACATGCACCATGTTCGCGCCCCCGAGGCCACGATCTCCCGCAAATTTCGCTACATCCGCACCTCTGGGGCCCAAGAGGCCTCCAAGAGGGCGCCAGAAGGCCCGAAGAGGTAAAAATCACTGATTTCCTTAAGGTGTTTGAAGGATGGTGACATTTGCGTCGTTTCGGCCTTCCGACGGCCCGAGACGGCCCAAGAGCCCCCCAAAGATCGCCCCGAGATCGCCCAAGGGGCCTCCAAGATGGCCCCAGAACGGCCCAAGAGGCCCCCAAAACGGCCCCAAGAGGGCCCCATAGACGGCCCGAGAGGCCTCTAAGACGCCCAAGAAAGCCTCCAAGACTGCCCTGGAGCATTCCAAGAGGACCCCAAGTCGGTCCAGAGAGGCCCCCCAAACGGCTTCCGACGGCGTCAGACGGGCCAGGAGGCCGCCAAGAGGGCGTACAAGAAGGCCCGAAGAGGCAACAATCATTGATTTCCTGGATGTTGGCATGTGCTCATTTTCGGCCTTCCGACGGCCCGAGACGGCCCAAGAGCTCCCAAAGATCGCCCCACGATCGCCCAAGAGGCCTCCAGGATGGCCCAAGAGTTCCCCAAGACGGCGTCAAGAGGGCCCCAAAGACGGCCCAAGAGGCCTTCAAGACGCCCAAGATGGCCTCCAAAACGGCCCTGGAGCATCACAAGAGGGCCCCAAGTCGGCCCAGAGTGGCCCCCAAGACAGCTTCCGATGGCGTCAGACGGGCCAGGAGCCCACCAAGACGGCCAAAGAGACCCCCGAGAATCCGTCGAAGACCCCCAAGAGGCCCAAGGAGGCACCCAAGATGCCTCCAAGAGGCTCCCAGGAAGCTCACAGGAGGCCCCGAGAGTGCCCCCAGAGGCTCCCAAGATGCCTCCGCCTCCTCCTCTTCCTCCTCATCATTCTCCTCTTCCACCTCCTCCTCCGCCTCCCTCCTCCTGATCTTCCCCGCCATCCTCCCCAAGTGTTCCCCGAAGGGTTTCCACAACGGTTGGGGGAACACATGGTCCGATAGCTTGGCGGAGCTCTTGCCACAACGCTCGGCCACATGAGCGATTCTAGAAGGCAGGGGGCGGCGGTGATTCGCCGAAGGCGTCTTCGATAACGCCAACGTCTCAATATGCGCTGATCATTCCTATCCGCCACTGCATGATGTTCTCAGCTGCGCCAAGGCAGCGCCGAGACGCACTGACGTGACTCTGGTCTATCTCATTATGATAGGGAGCTGGCGGCTGGGGGCGAAGCCCTTACGGATACATATTTTATACACATATATAGGCGTTTATATGTTTACATACATACGTATATAAATATATTCCGAGAGAGCGAGAGTGAGAAAGAAACAACAAACAAACAACAACATATACATAGAAAGAGAAAGAGAGAGAGAGAGAGAACAACAACAGCGAGAACGAGATAACAAAAGAAAGAGAGGGAGGGAAGGAGGGAGAGAGGGAGCTCGAACCTCGAGCCCGCCACACCCTGCCCTTTCTCGCATTCTCGCTTCAAGCGGGACCCTGGAACCTCAAGATGGCCCCAGCATGGCCCAGGAGAGAAGCAATAATGGCCCAAGAAAGCCCCAAGAAGATCCCGGGCGCCAAGGGGCGTGCCAAAATCTGAACCCCCAAGAAGAGAGCTTCCCTGAAATCCGCCGATCGGTTTCTTTAATCCGCGGCCTCAAGAGTCCCAAAAGTCGCGACCGCTTCCCAAAGGCCAAACATTCCGCCCCGTGCCAGCTTTCGATGGCCTCCGGGCCCGAGGATGGGCCCCAGAGGCCGCAATCGATGACAAAAACGCCGGACTGAAATCATCCAGTCCTCGGAGATCTCGCGCGCCGCTGCGTGCGCGGACGCGGGAGGGCGAAGGGCCACAAGCTGCGAACGTGTCCCACATCCACGCCCTCGCGGTCTTCGGCGGCCAGCCCCAGGGGGAGTGAGAGGGGGCGGGCCTTCTCAGAAGGCTCGGGAGTTCCCTGGCCGTCGGAAAAGTTGCCTACCCCTTCCCCGAGTACGCAGACAGCTCCTCAGAAGGCTGGGGGGGGCTTCTGAGAAGCCCCGCCGCCTTCTGAGAGGGCCGCTCGCTCGCCGCCGAGGCCTGCACTCCTGGGCGCAGCCCCGCGGGCTCGCGGTCGCACGGACATGGGCTCGCTCTCCATGCTTCGCGACAACGCCCGTGACTGGCCCCGCCCACCCCCCCCCCACCAGCGCCATGGCCATGTCACGGTTCGAGCCGGCGCCGTCTGGGAATCAGCCGGCCCTGCGAGGGCGCGAGTCGTGACGTGACCGGCCCCCTCCCCCCTTTCCCGCCCTCCCAGTCACGCCCGCTGTCGCTACGGGGTACAGAACACTGCCTCCTCGTGCCGCGCGGGGCATCCGCGAAAAAAGACGCTCCATATCTCCGCGGTGTCGCGGCCCAAAGGCCTGGCCCGCGAGGCCGTGGAGCTGTGGATAGACTTCTCGCGCGCACGAAAGAGGGGCCCCAAGCCCGTGGGCCGGGGCGAGCGCGCCGTCGACCGCCGCGCTCGCCGCTCCGGTGTGGGCCGTGCGGCCGACCCCCGATCCGCCGTAGTGTGGTTGATTTTCCGATTCAGCAGTGTCGGAAGTACACTCCACAGCATGCGGATACACAGGGCTGACGTGTCCCTTCGACAATATGGCGGGTAGCTCCGCAAAAGAGTGGCGGAGGCGACGACGGCAAAGCAGGGCATTTCCGCCCAACTTGCGAAATCCCCCCGGACGTGCTCTCGTCGTGAAAAAGTCGCGGCGGAAGGTTATTGGTCGTGGGACCGTCGAAGAGGGGCCCAAGACGAAAAGCAGGTCCTGGGGAATGGGTCCAGACCTCTGGGGGTCGATGTCGCGAAAAAGTTCATGCGTCAGATTTTTGGGTTGCGTCATGGACAGAACTACTTGTCGGAGAATTGCCCTGGCCAGCCCCCTGGCCAACGCCGACCACCCTCAGGCCAAGTCTGGCCAAGCTTCCTGGCCATCCCCTCCGGCCAACGCTGGTTAGGGCCATTTTATCCATAAGACACACTAGGAGGGACGAGGAGGAGGAGGAGGAGGAGGAGGAGGATGAAGATGAGGAGGAGGAGGAGGAGGAGGAGGAGGAGGAGGAGGAGGAGGGGGATGATGAGGAGGCGGAGGAGGAGGAATGATGCAACGGGGGGAGGGGACAGGACAAAGTGGGAGAGAGGAAGGAAAGAGGAGGGAAGGGAATGCGTTGAAGGGAATACTCAACGAGGCGGGAGGAACACGTATGAGGAAGGATGGAGAAGATCTAAAACATATTGAACAACGAGGGAGGGGTTGGGAGGCAGGTTGAAGGAGGACGCAAGAAGGAGCAAGAGGAGGGGGACCAGAACAAACCCAAGATGCATCAACGATGCTGCAATACATCCTCCCGTCCCAAGTCCCCTCCGCAGAAGTTCCCACCAGCCCTCCTTGCCACTTCAAGAAACGCCCCTTTGAGAGACCAGCATCCCATGAGCCTGCCACTCAGGCGAGGGCCCTGCTCTGAACAGAGATCAAGGATGCCGCGCGTCCTTCCAGCAACTGAGGAGGAACGCGCCAGGTTGCGATCATACAGCCCCACAGGTGTAGCTCGTGCACCGACGTGCACTCGTGGCCGTGACCCTCGAGGAGGTCTCAAAAGCGGAGCCCCAGTCTCGAAAATATAAGCCGCCCTCCCTCCGTGCAGCCTCTGTCCAGTGATGCTCCGCTGGAGAAGCTCCTTCCTCCTTCTCCTCCTTCCTCCTCCTCCTCCTCCTCCTCCTTCTCCTCCTCCTCCTCCTCCTCCTCCTCCTCCTCCTCTGTTCTCCACTATCCACCCCTCCCCCGAGGCGTTCAAATTCACTGCCCGTTATTTCCATTTCTAATAGGCTGGCTGCTCACCAAGAGAGCAAAACCCGCGCTCCGCCGTGTAAGGACAATGACGCTCGCTCGCTCGCTCGTGCTGCACCCCAAGCAGTTGAAATGCCCCTCGGTGGTCAGCGCACGCAGGAGGCCCCGCCCACAGAGGCGACAGGCTGGATAGACACGCGGCCCCCCCAGACGCTCCAACCTCCTCCTCCTCCTCCTCCTCCTCCTCCTCCTCCTCCTCCTCCTCCTCCTCCTCCTCCTCCTCCTCCCCCCCTCCCCATCCTCATCCTCATCCTGTTCCTCCCCTGTTCTCCACTGAAGAAGTCCCAAGCGACCGCCCCAAGTGGAAAAAGAAACCGCCCACGAGCCCTGCAGCACTTGCAGGTGTTCGAGACGAGCGTGCCCGGCGCTCGGGCGAGAGCCCCATCCTGAGAAGGAGCCACCCTCCGTCCTTGGAGCTGCTTTGCGAGCTTCTGCATCGAGTGTGCGCGGCGCTGAGGCGAGAGCACGTGTCTGAAACACATCCGCCTTGTCTCCTAAAAGCTGCTGCAAGCTGTTAAACATGTGCGCGGCGCTAAAGCGACAATAATTTCTTGATAACCGCCCCCCTCCGTCCGTGAAAATGCTGCGAATTGTTGAAATGAATGTGCGCGGCGCGAAGGCGAAAACCACAATTTGGTAAACTCCCGCCCTCCATCCGTGAATTTGTTAAATCGGCCAGCCTTCAGGGTCGCAGACCGGGGAGGAAGTCTCAGGCGAAACGCCCGGCCCGCACTGCCGGCACGTCTAGGATGGCGAACACGCGAACACTCATGCCACATTCATTTGTCAACGCCTCCCCTTCAATGCTCAAAGTTGGCGGTTGATCTGATGAGTTTCACTTCGACCGCAATTTCCTCCGCGCGTGTGAACTTTCAGGTTTGGGGGGGAATGTTGGTTTATTGCTGTCATGTGCCGTATATTAGGAAGGAAACGTGTCGTCGGAAGAAGAAGACCCAGACCCCTGACGCCGTGCTTTTTCTGTAACGTGGACAGCCCCCCGGCCCGGCGACGGCCCCCGGGGGCTGACAAAAAATTGGAGACCTTCCGTCGTGATCTTTCCACGGCGCGAGGAGGTATGGGGAGGGGGCGCGAATACGGTATATTTTGCAAGGGGTCGTGGCTTCGGGGACCCGAACGTGGCACAATTTACAAGGGATCGTGGCTTCGGGGACGCGAATACAATGTAATTTGCAAGCGAGTTGGGAGCGCGAATCTCACTTATTTTTACGTGTCCCACGGCCTCGCAGGAATTCAGACAACGCGATTCGGGGGTGGTAACCGGGCCCTTTTCGGCTCCCCCCCTCGCGCGGACTTCAACACTTTATAGTTGGAAGCAGAAAGCAGGACTGCAACATTGGAGACTGGAAACTGGAACTGGCGCAAGGCACTGTAACCCTCACAGCTTGGCCCCAAGATGTTTCCCAGGCGGCCCAAGATGGCCGAAGACGGCCTCAGATAGCCCCCAAGAGAGTCCAGGAGGTCTCCAGGAGGCCTCCACAACGGCCCACGAGGCTTCCAAGAGGTCCTCCAGGAAGGCCCATCGAAATCAAACTCATCGATCTCCTGTTAATTGTTTGACGGGTTGTGGCGTGTGCATCTGTTCGGCGCTCCGACGGCCCATGGCGGCGCCAGAGGCCCCAAAGTTAGTTCCGAGATGGCTCCCTGACGGCCCACGCGGCCCCCAAGACAGGCCCAAGAAGGCCCGAGGACGGCCCAAGAGGCTTCCAAGGCGCGCAGTCTGGTCTCAGCGGCGGCCCCGAAGCGCCCCAAGGTGGCCCAAGGACGGTTCGGAGATGGTCCGAGGACGGGCTGCTACTGCGTCCACTGGGCCATGAAGGGCTTGAGACGGCCTACAAAGGTCCCCGAGAAGCCCCAAGAAGGCATCCAGTAGACCGACGGAAGCCCCCCAAGAGGCCTCAAGGACGCTCCCCACAGGCCCCCTCCTATGCGGCTGCATCCTTCAAGCAAGCTCCGTACGAGAAGCCTCCTCCTCCTCCTCCTCCGTTCCCTTTCCTTCTGAATGACTCCTCCCCGTCGCACCCCGGGGCCGGGTTTTCGTCCTGTGCCGTTTCTGGATGGTCGCGGGGCCAGAGACAGCCAGAACATCTCGTCGTTTTTTTTCCGCATCGCACAGAAGTTCGAGTATGGGGGATCGACTGCAGAATTGATGTGCCCCAAGCTCGCATTGCTCGTCGACTCTGCGAACCGTTTTCATAACACTCGCAGATGTATTACGAAGATTCTGCGCACTGCGCTGTTTGCAGACTCGACGCGAGCAGCCGGGGGCACCTTGGGCCACGCTCGCCTCGGCCAGCCTCTCTCCGGCCTCGCTGCCCCGCCGCGGGCGCGCACGGACGGCTCGCGGACGAGCTCTCGCCGAGTGCGGCGCAGCCCCGGCAGCCCGGCGGGTCTGGCGCTCTCTTCGGCGACTGCAGCAGGTGTGGTTACAGTCGGGCCGAGGAGAAAAGATCGAGATTGGTTCGGGGAGGGTGCCCTCGTGTTCTCCACGTTCGTTGGGTGCTCTTGTGCATCCTGGGGGGGGCACCTTACGGATGTTCTGTGTGTTCTGGCTGGCGGATGATCTCATGTTCTTGAGGTCTGTTTTTCTGGCCTGGGTCCGGCTGTACGCGGGGGGTTGGTTTGCGATCGGCACCGTTGGGGCCTGAGGAGCACCACGCAACCCTCGTCGGGCCTCCTCGGGGCGCGGCGGAGAGCACCGTCGAGGTCCTCGCCTGCTTCCCAGGGTGCCCCCCAGGGTGCCGGTTGCAAGCCACACGCTTTGCAAACCACACCCTTCGGAGTCGCCGAGCTTTCCTAAAGACAAAGACCTGTGTTTTGCTGGAGCTCCAGAAAAACAAAGCCTGCTGAAGGGTCTTTTATTCCAGGCCTCCCACATGGGTTGCGAGCAGACGGGGTCGGAGGATAGCGCTTCATCGCCGATGCATCTGCGATGCTTCGGAATGTGGAGCCGATTCTCTCCATGCCGACGTCGTCGATGCATCGGCGATGCGGCGCGATCCTCGACTCCATCGACTCGGACCCCATCTGGGGGGCCTCCAACTGCCCGCTTTTGCTTCCTGTCTTGATTTTGTGATCTGCGCTCCCTGGTCGAGCACGCACGTGCGAAGTTTGCTTGGGATAGTCGGGGTGGTCAATCTTGAGACAGACTCAGCTAGCATCCATGCACTGCTGCAGAGCGGGGGGGGAAGAACTTGGCACAGGAATTTCGCATTTGCGTCGTAACACCACAATCCGCATGTGCACGCTGCTTTGAGCGCAAGGGCGCTGTCGTAACCATCTGCCAAGCCTGGTAATACTACGGTCGAGCGTATGATTTAGATGCCTCCTCCCGGAAAACTGGGCCAGCGTTTCTCAGCCACCTTGCCAGAGAGCTGGCCCAGCTTCTGCAGCGCCTTCGCCCCTCCAGCGTCGACGCACGAGAACTTGGCCCAGGCTTGTCGTAAGGAATTCCTGGGAAGCTGGCTCGGGCGTCTTCACTGACAAGCTTATTGACCATATGCTCGGCTGTATGCAGCTATATCGGCGAGGCGCTAAACGTTATGAACACGGCATGGACAATGGTGTGCCGGTATGTCTTTTCGTCGATAGCGCTGTGTTTGACCCCGATGTTGTTGGACATGATTTCCGTACTCGATGAGCAGCGTAACGAGTGGTCTGCCGCATCAGGGTATGACAGACAGATAGGTAAAGCTGGTACGAGTTGCTTCACTGGGAGCGTGACTGAACCTACGCTGATAGACGACGACGACGCCAGCGACGGCGAGGAACGTCGGAGCAGAGCGGAGCAGCGAAATGGAATCCTATCAGGAGCGCCTCAGTAACACTCAAGACGGCGCCTTCCCCCCTTCCTGTCGCGCCTGCCCCGTGCCCCTGCGTAAGTTGTCCTCGGAGACGTCCGCTGCCCTTCATGCATATCATACATGGGTGCAGCGGTCCGGCAGGATCCGTTCTGAACGCATTATTTCCTAACCGCTCAGATCCGTCCAAAAACCATTGGATTCGCATCGGATCCGCCCAACAAGCATCGGCGATCCGCATAGGATCCGTAGTGGATCCGAACCCAAATCCGGCGCCCGAGGCGAGGTCGACACTCCCGAACGGGGACCTTCTTCGATGTCTTTGGGGGCCCCTGTTCTCGTTTTCAGGTGTCCGATGCTGCGACCTGCAGCCATATTCCGTTGCCCCAGGCTGGCTGGGCCGACGACCCCTGGACTGGCTGGACCGACAGGCTGGAAACTTCGTGCGATGTGAGACGTCGGGCCAAATTCCCAAATCGTTCCAATTACCTGGCTGTCTGAAGTCACATGTGATGTGGATCGTGGAACGACGCGACGAGGACAATGAGCACGAATCAACGCAAACACAGCAGAATTGCGCACTGTAGCCGCATCTGGGACTTCAACGAGGCGCGACACGCGCGAGGTTACGACGTACGCGTGGGCAGCCGCAGCAGGAATTTGAAGCAGTAGTGAAATAAAAGCAAGACGACGAGAACTTGGGAGACGACGGCGAGGAGGACGATGAACAGGACAGCGAGGAGCACGACGAGGACGACGAGGAGGACGAGCAAGCCGACAAGGAGGACGACGAGGAGGACGTGGTGAGCGGCGCAGCGGGGAGAAAACGACGATTGGTTCTGCAACAGGCCACGTAGGGAAGCTCGTGCTCGAAGCGGTGATGTGATCGTACCAGCTGAAAGCTTACCTGTACGATCACCCTTCGGTTGACCAAGAGGTTCGGATGGGGTGGAACCAACGTCTCACTCCATCGATCTCGCTCTCGATACCACTCCATTGATCTCACTCCATCGATCCCACTCCATCGATCCCACTCCATCGATCTCACTATCCCTCTCACGGTCGATCTCACTATCGATCCAACTATCAGTTTCATTATCGATCTTACGATCGATCTCCGTACGGGACACCGGCGGGACACCGGCAGGTCCCTGAGAAGACACCCCCTGCAACCGCCGACCAACCCAGGGGAGGGGGGCGTGTCTTTTGGTCGGGCCGCGCCCTAGCAAACGAGGGTTCATCCCTCTCGCCCGCCCGCGCATTTTCGCCTCGAACGCACGACACGAACAAGAAACCGAAACCGATTTCCCGGTGGTGGGCTCGCCGTTTCATTGCGATCTCACCCCCTCACCTCCGATGCACGGTGAGGGCAGTAGATAAGGAACCATGGGATAAGGAATCCAGGGCCTGGAAGCTGGTGGAACTCCAATCGTGGAGTGGCCATGTATATCACCGCCGCCCTCATCAGATGAGAAATCCTCCAGAGTCTGAAGCCTCACATCCCTCAACGAACGCCTCCACCGTATGGTTGCGGCACACGTTGCTCTCATGCCAGCAGGTCGCCAGAATGCATGCAGCATGGTTTTGCCGAGCTTTCCCGACCAGGTTCGGCAGAGCCCTTTCGGGCTTGTCTTGCAGGCATCGCCCCGATGCCGTAGGGTGGCGCGGCCGTAAATTTCAATGGCTGTTTCGTTGGCTATTTGAGGGTCTGAGGGCACATACTTGGAAGCTTCGCTTCGTCAAACATGTGCAGACACGCCATTGGATGCCGTGGGGCTCGATACTGCCTGCCGTTTGTTGGATACCACGACCTTCGATGCTGAGATGGGGATGTCGGATTTCGGACACCACATATATAGTATATGTATAGTGTATATATATATATATAGTGCAAGCATGGTTGTAGCAGCGCTGTATTCGCAAGTGCGGATGTCAAAGGTCTTCTGCTTATTTGATGTGTAGCGAGGGTTGTACACTCATACCTTCTTCGAAGAGGCTCTCCTCCCCGAAGCTGCGTCTCAAACTTTCTTGATCACAAACGCCAGCACAAGCACCGTGCTGCGTTAAAACATCGTACGAGTCGGAAGCTAGCTCCCGCTAGAGGGTCAAAACTTTCAGCGAAACTGAGCTTAACTTTCTTAACAGAAGGTGTCTTAACACAAGTTTTGAGTGGATGAGGCTTGTTTGAGGGCCTCTTTGGGCCCTGTCGGGGGCTCTCACAGAGGCTGTCTCCAGCGGCGGTCTGGGGGCTCTCTCGGGCGTGATGTTTTTGCCGAGCTCTCCCGAAGAGGGTTTGCAATCTTACCTTAGGGACGTAGGGCCATATGTTCAGTTCTTGGTATCATCCAATACGCCAGTAATTTGCCCTGTCGCCAGGAAGAATAATGTGCGGTGCCCAATGGTGTACAGCTCATTTGCTTGGGTGATGGAAACACACAACATAATTCTTGGTATCCTCCAGCGCCCGCCTGCCTGGAACGAGACGAGCTCAATTATGACATGCACGTTAGGGTCGCGTTCGGATGCGATGCGCGCGCAGCAAGTTTGTCCATGCATTGCGTCGTGTTTCCCCTCTCTTCTCACTCCTACCTCCTCCTCCTCCTCCTCCTCCTCCTCCTCCTCCTCCTCCTCCTTCTCCTCCTCCTCCTCTCCCATCTCTCAGGGCATGTGCAGCATGGGTTCGCAGCATCGCAAGAGTGGACGGGTGCGGGCAGGTTTGCCCCCCTGCGGCCATCTGGGCTCCAGGCATGGCCCCCGCGCCCGCCGTAACACTCGTTTTGAACCCTGCTATGTGCATCCGCTGTACAGACAAGTGCGTGCTTGTCACCCACCGGTTTGCATCCTAGTTGGTAGCGGAGCACCTTGCTCCACCACCTCGGCCGCCATGGCCCGCGCGGCGATGCTTCGCGCCCCTGGCGACCGGTCTACGTCGACTGCGATGTCGTGCTCTACGTTCCGCTTCACCATCGTGCTGATCATCTACTTCGCCCCGGCAGGCGCCGTGCCTCGAAGGGCTGGCGGGCCAGTCAGGCCTAGCCGCCATCAGCGGCGCAGGAGACCCAGCACATCTACGAGTCCAAGAACATGTACCAGAAGGGCAGCGACCCCCGCGCCTCCCCCCCGGGCAACTTCTACTTGCGTTCGAGACGGTCATGGGCCCTTCGTCGTCACAGCACTCGCCTGCGAGCGTCGCCGTCGACGTCAGACCGTCGAACGATCCGATTTCCACGTTCACGGCGTTGGCACAAGGCCTTTAGCTACGCGCAACTGTGTTGCGGAAGCCCGAGGGGGAAGAGGACAAGGACGCATCGCCCTCATTGCAGCCGCATGCGGGCGTAGCCGACCAAGTCAAGCAGTCGTTCGATCCATTTATCGCCATTGGATCTCTGGGGCATGACCCTGAACGTTGCCTACGCGCACCCTGCTTCTGGGCAGACCTGGATCCCTACGCATACTCCTCTTAACTATCGCGCAGTCGGCAGTGCGCATTGCATTGACAATGCGACGTGCGAGGAGTTCTCTCGCCAGTATGTGGCGGGGTGTTCCGGGCGCAGCCCGCGCTCCAATCGCACGACAGAAGACAAGACCCGACACGCTGATCAGGACGAGCACACCAGGGACAGATACCCATGACGGCTTCGAGGATCACTACCAGAACACCGCCGTTGGTGGGCACCAGGACTGCCGCGCCTCCTCGACATTCACTCCTGGATGGAAGGCCATCGGAGTGGGCACGGTCGCTGGGCGCGGTCGGCGGCG